AAAAATAAAGCCCAATAGTCATGTCACAAGGACAAAGAAATGAGCTGGACTTTGACAAGTGCTATAAAAGGCCTCTCATGATCAACATATGCAGGGAGTAGACAGAACCGGTTTGCTGCAGACTGCTTCCCCGGTGGTTGTTGTCTTATGCTCAAAAATTTAAGCTTTCAATTAAAAAAAAATCCGTCTTTAGCGCTTAAAGTTCAAAGATAACCTTTCAAGTGTAAACCACGTGCAAACTGATATAAGCAACGAGGTCTGCTGAAGGCAGCCTGAAATGCTAGTTCAGAGCAAACTCAGTTCAGTTCCTCTGCCTGGGCTGTTGATGCCAAAATCTAATGGCAGGAGGGTGAAGAACTTGCCCACTAGTCAGGCCCATAAGAAGAGGAGCGATCATCCCGTGCAAGTCTGCACAATTGATTGAGAGTGACATTTCTTTCTGGCAGCGTGTGGGTGAAGTTTGGCTTGGGGCAGAGCTTGGGAAAGTCCCACCGTTTTTTTCTTTCCAGTTTGAGCTCTGACTGTGTGAATCCAGATAGTCAGACTCTGCAGTCACTTGACACATTTTTCGGAGCAACCTGAAGTATGTCCCAGAAGAAAAGACTTTTGCTTGTTACCCACGTGGTGGTGTTCTCTGTCTGAGTTAGATCATACGGCCCTGTCTTCTGTTTGCTTGCAAAGTACCTTGCCCTGTGTTTAATGGTTAGGTACTTTTGGTCTCGACAGAAGATGCTCTGCTTCTCACTGGGTTTAGAAGGACTCTGGGTTATATTCTTTTGGGAAAGTTTGTTACTGTACCTGCCACGTTCCTGACTAGCAAAATAATGTTAACAAGAGGATTTGTGTCTTTTGAAAACAGTTTTCTGGAGAGGCACTGACCTGGCAGCGTAAAGGTTGCCTCCTCCCCCAGTGTCTCAGCCTGGCCGGCAAAGCGGGGTGCTTCCTGCCACGTTGGAGGGGCAGGTTTCTTCCAGCCAGTGGACAGGTGATGAGCCAGGTTCAGTTACCACCACACAGCTGCCGTTCACCTAGCAAACCAGCGCTGCCGTCCTGCCGCACCAGGACTCGAAGCAATGTGGGGAGGGAGCTGGAGCAGCTCCCCGCAAGCCTCAGGCTGCCATGTGGGGCTGGGGGTGGGGCAGAGCGCAGGAAAGCAGAAGGGGCCGGCAGCGCTGGCCCCATGTCTCCTGGGTGACAGTGGTTTCTTTTGTCTCGCAGTGTAATTTGTGGCTTTCAGTTACACAGCCCCTGGGTGGGAGTGTCACTCAGTGGGGCAGGCGGTTAGCTTGCTTGAGGAGTCTCCCGAAGGCAGCTTATTATTTCCTGCTGGTTTCTTCCCTACCGTGTTTCCAGATGCACCAAGTAAAAGCAACAGCGAAGGGGTGGGGGTTGGATCCTGAACACACAGACCTGCACAAATGCCAGCAGCTGGGGTCACTTCCCTTGGAAGTGTCGGCAGATTTTTTATTAATGGGTTCTGTGTTTGGCAGGTACCTTGCTCAAGAAAGAGATTCCTGTTAACCAACCAGCCATCCGGCCCTCTCATCTCCCCCCTTGCAAATGCCTCACTGAGCACCAGCTACCTCGTGCTTAAACAAGTAAAAATGAGAGAGAGAGAGAGAGAGAGAGCGAAACCTAACAAACAGACCTGCATCCTGCTTCTTCCTGGTGGCTTGGCACTTGTAGTTGGCTCATGGTTTTGTGGTATTCGGTTTCAGGCTTAAGGATTTCAACCAGCCGGCATCGCTCCTGGGAGGAAGAAAGAATGAGCTATACTTTTCTCATTGGCCTGAACAAAAACAGAAGCCTCTGCTGGGGTTTGGGAGTGGTTTATGGGCTGAGCGGAGTGGCAGGGGAGTCCTTGTAATGCCAGAGGGAATAAAGGCGAGTGGCATGCTGTACCTATTGCGAGAGCCGAGGAGCTAAGCTCAGGGTTGTGCTGCCTGCGTGTTTGCTGGTGGGTCTTTTCCTTGAGTTTCTCTGCATGTACATGTGCTGCTGCGTTTCTGTGCTTGCATGTGTGCCTTTGCATCTCGGTGTCTCTGTGCTGGCTGCTGCCTTTGTTTCTCAGTGCCTGCATGTGGGTTTGTGTCTCTGCATGTGTGGTACAGGAGTTTGCTTTTGAGTTTGTGTCTCTCTGTTGTCCCTGTGTTTCCAGCACTCTGCCTTTGCTTAAGGGGTTATCTCTGTTGTCTCTTCTTGTGAGTCTCTGTTCTGTTTGCCTGTGAATTTGTGGGTTTTTGCATGTTGCCTCCCAATAGGTACTAAATTTTTTGCAGAAAGGACAAACAAATAACATGCCGTAACTTGAACAATTTCAGGCTACTAGAGAGAGCGTAAAACAAACTCTAGTCAGGAAGGGAGGCTTGCAAATTTACAGGCAGCTGCACGTTTTGAAAACCCAACCGGGGGGATGTAGTGACATAAAGTGGAGACTTCGGGGACTGGAAATCGTAGCAGTTGTGAAAGAGCAAAGCTTGGGCATCATTTGTGGTTGTCTGTTTGCGGGGCAAGATTCGCTTTCCTTGTCCTACATGGGAATGTGTTCCTGTAGCCCGTACTAGCTGCTCTGGCCCAGCGCACGAAAGGCAGAGCGCTGCTACTGGGCTCTGCAGAGATGCTGTTTCAAGGTTTCTTTCAGCATGTTCAATTTATTATGGATTTTGTTATGCAAAAACCTCAGAAAGAAAAAAAAAAAAAGTTGAGTCTTGACCAAATTAGCAACCGTTAGTGATGAGCAGCCTCTTGTTGGGGTTCGCGCGGTGTGTAAGATTAGCTGTGGCATGGAGCTGCGCTGAGAAGACCATGTGACTGCAGTGTACATTGGAAGAGGAAGCTGTAGAGGTCAATGCAAAGGCATTGTGCCAGAGTCTGGCAACAAGGGAGATTGCTGTATGGCGGAAGATTGCTTTTCAGACTCCTAACCCTTTCCTTCACTGTTGGCGTTGGAGGAAAGCAGCCCTGTTTGATTAACAGCAGAAATTAAATGCGCAGTAGCTCATTGTGATTGGTTTCAGAGAGAGGCAGAAAGAGAACTGATGTTTCCAAATGCTTTGTAAGCTTTTATTAACTCCCCTAAGAGGATCTTTTACTAAAGCTACCTTTTCTGGGAAGGAAAATTACTTTGCGTAGCAGAGTTTCAAGAAAGAACGAAAAGTTGAATGTTTCAGCTCTCTCTGCATCCATGGGCGCTCAGTCACGAGACTTGTTTGGGGTCGTTGCAGTTTGTTCAAGTTTGAGTTTTAAGGTTATAAAAGAATAAATAAAATCCCAGCCAGTAGAGAGGGCTGCTTGTGACCGTCCAGAATATCTCGCCTCACTTGAAAGTGAATTGGTTTTAGACAGTTTTGGTTAACTTTGGGTATTTATATTTGACCTTTTGAAGTCTGAAGGTAGTAGTCACTAGCAGGATTTGAGTTTTCACTTGCAAATGTCACGAGCCTCAATATTGTCCTCATGCTGAAACATTTCAGCCTGTTTTGCTTCTGGTTTCTGTTTTTCAACTAGCCGTTTTCTATCTGCCTTTCTGCGGGCTGGTCGAAAGGAAGAAAACTTCGATTGTAGGCTGCTGCTTTGTTTTTAGTTTCCATCTGATTTGTAACCAGCAACATCTTGGGAGAGGAGACGACAGGGAAAGATTAAAAAAAAAAAGATGTATTTGAGAGTGCAGGACTCATATTTTGAAATGGAGCATATTGCGAGTCTAGACAGCTTCTTGGCTGGCTGTGATTTTTGAAGCATCTGAAATACCCCAGGGGTAGAAAATCTCTCGTCCTGCTTCCAAAGGCTGCAGCAATGCCACGGTGGGCTGGAGGACAGAGATGTAATGGTACGAGGAGAGGTTTGAATTGTGCAATGAAGACACAGGACTTTTTTGAAGCCCACAAATTGACTGTCTTCATGACAGCATTGCGTATCATTCTGTCAACTCCGGCACTGGATGTGGTTGCTAGGCAGCAGGCTCTTATGTATCCAAAGTCTCTCTGATTTGCCAGCCTTCTGCAGACACATGGTAAGGTCCTTTCTAGCCTATCATCTAGAGGGACTTTTGCACGCCGTCTGCATACTGCTGAGATTCTCTACCTGAATGTGATGAGAAAAAGACACAGTTAAATTCAAACCTTTTTTTGATCCTTTATGGTCCTGTTGCCACAACCAAAAAAAAAAAAAAAAGCCATGAAACGGCGACCGGAACAAGGAAAAGAGGTTAGTGGGTTAAGTGGTGTGCGTTTCCTGCGTTTGCAAAGGTGCCTGTAGTGAGGAGGGCGGCTGTAATTCGGCCATTAGTTACTGATGGTGGCTGGAGGCTCGAGATTCGTGCAGTAAGATGAGAGCTGTTGTATACCTTTGCAGCAGTGTTGACACGAAATCGCTCTGAAAAACAGATCTAGAGGGCACCAAATGCAGTGAATTTGATACTTTACAATGCAGCAGGCTGATTCTTTTCATTGTTTTGGTGCAGAAGTGTCTGGAAATGAGAACAAAAACCAGTTAGTTTGCCAAATGAGACTTCTGCCCGCCAGCCCATGCAAAAATGGTATTGGTAGCTGTTAGGTGATGCATGACCAGAGGGCTTTATAGGCAAATGAGAGTTTTCAAAACTTTGTTCTTTGAATCAATATGTACACAACTTTTGGTGAAGGTTATGTCAGCCAGGCAGTGGAGGAGAACCTGAACAAGGTTACTTTGCAAGCAGAGAGTGGCATGGGGAATATTTCTAAACAGTTGAACCAACAGTCCGCAACCTGTTTTAACAAATAGTTTCCTATCCAGGCAGTGGGGTAGTGAAGATAGAATTAAAGAGAAGCTTTCTCCCATTTGAAGTCCAGTTATAGTCCTGTTTCTGCCCCATGACGTGACTGTAAAAATGCAGCAGTTTCATGGTAGAGACCTCTACACATGCACAGATCACTTCACATGAATTAATGAGCAACATTAGTCTCACATTTGTGGTTAGTAACCTTTGGCTCTTGTACATTTTTCCCTTTTTTGCTTTTCAGGTATTGTTTGATGAGCGTGAAAGGATGCTTCACTGATTTTCACATTGATTTTGGTGGCACTTCAGTGTGGTATCACGTTTTCCGAGGAGGGAAGGTAAGTGGACCAGGCAGTGTGATGCCTTTATTTTTCTGTACTTCTTATGAAGCCTGTTGTTCAGAGGATTATTTTAGTATGATCGGTGTATTTATTTATTTATTTATTTATTTATTGCATCTAAGGGATGAAGTGGTAAATCTCTTGGAATCAACTCAGCTGAAAAATGTGGAGTTTTGCTCAGCTGGGGTATAGAGCCTTTCCATGTATGAAACAAGCATGCTGATTATGTCAGGGCAACAAAAAGAAAGCGTTTGTTGTGAAAAACCTCATTGTACTGCATGGTATTGGAAATATCTTGCAGCATGTAAGTGGCTGTGTACCCTTGCTGGGTCAGAGTGCCCTTATCACATCTCCTTAGGTTGCCAGAACCTCTTTGCCTCCTCTTACAGTTTTCAGGATGTTTTAAGAATGCACACACAGATGAATTGATACATGAAGGCAAAAAATGATGGGACTGGTAGCATACACAGCTACAGATACATCTTTCTAGGTATGTGTAGCTGTAGGTTTAGGTAAATTCTGCCATATCTGAGATTCCAGTGTAGAAAGATACTACACATGAATTAAAATAATTACAGCAAATAGTACATCTTTCTACTTCTGATATTATTAATCTATGCAAACTGGTAACATATAGCAATATATACTACACTAATTTGAAAGTAAGCTCCTAGCAGACTTCATACAGAGAAGATGTTTTATGGAGGCAGTATAAAGTAGGTAGTGAGTGACCTTGCCAGTTCCAGCAAATGTGCTGGTTACTGCTGTAGTCTGCCAGGGACCTGTGTGCACAAAACCTAGGAAACGGATACTTTATGCTGAAAAGACATTTGCTGTGTGTGTTCATTTCACTGGCACACACTTACCTGGTGGGGAGTTCCTAGCTCTTCCTCTTCATTGGCTGTTTGTAAGAGTTAAACTTTTGCTTTATTTTTAGATCTTCTGGCTGATTCCGCCTACTCTGCAGAATCTAGAACTTTATGAAGAATGGGTTCTCTCGGGAAAGCAAAGTGATATCTTTCTGGGAGACAGGGTGGAACGATGCCAAAGAATTGAGTTGAAACAAGGCTATACATTTTTTATTCCTTCAGGTAAACTCTTGATAGCTCTGACTCTTGTCAGAATCATCAGAATCCTTGCGTTTGATTAACAGTCCCTGTGTGCATAATAAAAATACCGTGTCGGAGCTTCTTGCTGGCTTCTTTGTTGGCAGTCTCAGAAGAAAGGCTAGGGTCTGAATGGGCATAATGCCACAGTGGGCCCAGAAGGCCAGGCATGAGACATGCCTGAGGGGAGTGTGCTCTGCAGTCACTTGGTTGAAATTGGTCTGTGGATAAAATGAGAACTTTGGTTTTCAGGACAGCAGTGCTTCCTATCCTCAGTTTACTGCAGGGTGTCCCACTGTATTTTCTGCCTGTTTGAAAAAGCAAATTTGTCCTTCCTTTGGTCTCATATAACTGTGCTAGTATAGCTCTCCTATGACCACAGTCTAGTCTGTCTCAGTCAAGTTTCACTTGTAGTTTGGAAACTTTCATCCATACTCTCAGTCTGTGCTTATAGCCAGCAGTGAGAGATGGGGCTTCAGAGGCACATTTAGATTCAATGGGGCCCGGGGCCCCCCTCCACAACCTGGGTGCCATCCCCCATGGCCCAGGTACCCCCAACGCACACCCTGCCCCTCAGCTGTGGGCTCCATTCCTGGCCGGTGTAGCGGCCTGAGTGGGACGCGCTGCCCCCCAGGCTTGGAGCAGAAGCCGCAGCTGCCACTGCCCCTGCCCACAGATCTGTGCTAGAGCTGGAGTCGGAGTCGGAGCCTGGGGCTGGTCGCGTGACGTTGCCCTACAGTTGGGTAGCACCAGGTGTGCAACGCAGACCGAGCTCTGGGGACGACCCCTTGTCCTGCCACAGCTCTGTCTGGCTGCAGTGGCACCTGGAAAATGCTCAGGATTGTGGCTGGCCTGGGCTGGGACCTGGCTGCACTGGGGCTGCCCCACCACTGGCAGGTCCCAGCCACACACTGTTCCCTGCCACCAGCAGCTCTGGCCACTCCCAGTGCCGGTTTCGTCCACACTGAGCTGCCCCCTGCCCCGTGCCCACCCTCCAGGCATCTGGGGGCTTTTGTTTAGCTGGGGCCCCTGGACCCAGGCCCAGCTTGTCTGTGCATTAATCCGCCTATGTGGGGCTTGTTCGCTTGAGATATGGTGCAGAGTTCCTCAGCAGCAAGAGTAGGTAGGGCCCTACCTCAGAACAGCTTTAACACCTGGCCCTAGCTTTTCAGGAGACTTGTTAGTGGAGATTGTGTTGAATGTGCACATTTCCCAAGAGCTTTGTCTTTGAACACACTGCCTGCTTCTGGGCTGTGTTTCATGTCAGGATTGTCTGGCAAAACAGGGGTGTCAGGTAACTTTTTGCAGACAGGTAGCCTCCTCTGCGTTTTATATCACCTGAATTGGATTGACTAAAGCTTGTTCACAAGCCAGTGGTGCTTTTCAGTCCTTTGCATCTATAGTGTGGCCATAAGTTTGTTTCCAGTGATATAACAACCTGTAGCAGATTTCACAAGGGAAATATTGGCAGCCTCCCTGCCTGATAGCAACAGAAGTTGTCATTCTTCAGTTTCCAGTGTCAGACTTTAGAAACAGCTTTTTATTTTAAGTTCTGGAGAGGAACAGAGGCTTTGGGAAACAGAGGGCTTCTCTGAACAGGTAGGAAGCACTGTTTTGTGTCGGTAGGGAGGGCCACTTATGTGCTCATTTGGTAAAGATTTGGCAAGGATTGTAGATTGTGAGGTGATGGAGAAAAATGGGGTGGAGCCAGGGAAGTGAATCCATTAAAGGAATTAGGTCTTCTCTTGAAATGGGTTTGCATGTGTTATTACTATTTGAATTGAATGTGTCAGTATGTCTATGCTGTTTGCATTGATCCTGTTGCTGTATTTGCATGTGTGTCTTCCCTTGTGGACAGTCTTCTACAAGTCTTCCTGTACATTAGTTTAGTGATACTCGGAAGATGGAACAAAGCAAGCTGTAGCCTCCTGTTGGCAGCTTGAGGAGGGCACAGATGTACAGTAACATGGTGGTTGAAAAGAAGTGAATCCAAATGTATGGTTCAAATATCCCTTATTTACTTGCCAAATATTAAGAATAGTTTAGAATTGGAACTGATGAAACCCATCAGCCTCTATTTGTTCATAAAAGCATAGGACGAATAAATGCACCTTGCAGTACCTCCTGAAAATTCCCAGTCTTGGGTGGAGAAGTTTCCAAATGTAAGGGATCCTTTATAAAATTGTGCCCATCCACATTTGCCAGTTCCCACCAGTGAGCCAAGGACACACTTGATGAATTGTGGCAAAGGCAACTGAAAAAGCTAATACAATCAGGAAGGAATCTGGCCTCTGCCAACTCACGGAAGGAGAGGATTAACCGATCTGTTGTCAGCATTTAACAGGGAATGATAACCCAAGAAATAGCGTGCTCTCTGCTCAGGGCTGCAGCCACATCAGTGGGATTCCAGGGCATCAGAGTTACCTAAGTATAGTTGGAGCTGGTTTTTCATCACCTTTCAAAAAGCACCCTCAAAAATTATGCAGAGAAAAGGCAAGAAGTTGATGTGACTGCCAGTGTCAAGATATCGTTCCTTTTTCATTCTTAACCACCACTTTCCTTCGCATAGGAGGCAACTCGTCCTCATAGTGGAAATCAATAATTTCTATTAAGAATGGCCCAGAGTCTCTTGACTGGCTTCTAATACCCATACGGGGCAATATACTAGTACGTGGGTAAGTGGCATTTACCCAGTTCATACTGAAGTCCCATCAGCTAGATGCAGCCAAGCCAAGGGCTCCTTCTCTAACACTGAGTTCCCAGACTGCTGCATATTTGAGTCCTCGCTTCCTTCTCTTCTGCATCTCTGTGCATGAAGGCAACTTGCAAGGCTGACGTGCAGGAAGGGAATGTTTGGAATCCATTTCATGGATGGCCACAGACAAAGGATGCTTATAGCTTACAACTGGCCTAAGGATACACTGGACTAGCAGCTGGACAACATTAACTCTCCAAGTTCTGTGACTCTCCCACTTCATCAGACAATGTTGCCCAGCTGGTGAATCCCGTTGCTGGCTCTCCTTCAACCATCAGCTCAAGCTTTCCTTCCTTCCCTTCACTGTCTTGTATAACTCCTCTCCAGGTGTCTTATTCTGGCCCTTGACACTTCTCATCACCTACAATTCCAGTTTTCATGCCCCATTCATCTTCCACTCCTACTTCTGACTCAAGCTTTCTTTCTGAGCCATCCCGGATACGTGGAATGTCCTTTCCATCCTGGTTCTTCAAGCCACTGCCCCGTTCCCCTTCAGAGCTCCTAAAACCTCACTACCTCCCTGCTGCGTAGAGGAGGTGAGTTCAGGAGTAAATGTTACAGACAGATCAAAACAGAAATCATCCCATTTTATGTCTCTGTCATCCCAGCATGTCCTAGTTTTTTCTTTACCACATGTACATTGTACGTGATTTGACCATGACAAGATGGGATCTCGGCAATGTCCCATATTCTGCATATCAAAGCTTGATTTGTGTTAAGTTCAGCTGCTTTCCCTATCTTTGGATTTCCTTAGGTGCTTGGTTCTTTTGGGCCCCCCCTTCCCACAAAGTGTAATTCACTTGTGCGAGTGCTCAGACTGGTACTTGAAATGTGCATGTGCAAAGTTTACGTGCAGAAATGGAGGCCAGGTTGGAGCCTGGACTGAAAACTGGCCTCACGGCATTTTATCTTGTTCATGTTAACACTATCAAATTCAGGGGATGACTAAAACCATGACTGGTTTTGCTGGTTGTGGGTGAAAAAGCGAAAGACGATGATACATTTATTTTTCCTCTCTGTGGATAGGATTTTCACTGACCTCAGTGAAAGTCACGTATGGGTGTTGGGATAGATATCACTCCAGGTTTGGTAGTGACTGTTTTGTCTTTAATTGCAAGGTGGGTCAGTGTTCAACCAGTGTAGCAAGCGCATTGCATATACTGTTTCAGACGTTATGCTTTTCACATACATAGTTTAAATTTGAATTCATAAAAGAGGTGACCAATGGTAGTATGTGTGATCTGATAGTATAGTTGAGCAGCTTTGAGAGCGAGAAGACTCTTGAATAGTTCTGGCATCCTGAGCTGTGTTCTTGTCAGTCTCTAGAAGTAAAGCAGTAATGACCTGGATCATTGCTTCGATTGGAGACCACTGAGGAAAACCCATGATGCTGCAGGAAATCCTGTTGTTGACTGTCTAAATAAAAATCTCCTGCCAGAAGATTTCAATGGCCCAGCATTGAAGTAGGAGCCTCCAGAGCTGCCGGAGATGGGTTTTTTTCATATAAGAATGTAACAATATATTGTCCTTAAAGATCCCAGGTTACTTTTATAGTAATAAAGGAATCAGCTTTGGTGTAATCCAAACTGGGTAATGTGGTTTCAGTTTGATGCCGCGTCATCTTCACTTTCTGTTCTGACTTGTTCTTATCGGCACTGCCTGCTGTTCAGCAGCAACCATGTTTCATCTCGGAGCCGACTGCGCTCCGCTGCTGGGACGAGAGTCTCCTTTATATGAGTTTGGGACATACTTGGGGCTCTCACGAGAGGAAAGTCACAATGTGAATTTAGGACACTACAGTCTCTATAATTTCTTGAGAGAAATGAGCTACAATCTAGCAAAATGTGCTCATTGTTTTGTGATGATTAGTGCAGTAACAGGGGAACGCTCCAAAACCTGCTTATTTTTATTCAGCACAGAAATTATGACATTTTTCTGATGAAGCTGATATTCAGAGAGCAAAATGGATGGGTTGGGATGATGTACGCTGGGCTTCTGGGAGTGACTTACAGAGATTCAGGCCACCATAAATACTACCACAGTGGCTGATATGAAGCGATTCTGTTTGCCATGGGAGTTGGGGACTCTCAGACCTGGCTCCCGCAGCTGAACCAGGCTGTGTGTGATGGACCTGTGTTTTGCAGGATGCCAGAGGATAGCAAATAGTTTTTGTATCAAAGGAAGCAGTAACTGGATGTTAAAAGTATGCCTGACAGTGATTTTCATCGAG